GTTTTGTGAGATTAAGAGTCACTTATGGTTTGTCTCCCTCCCAATCCCATCTGTTTCTTTTACTCTTCTCCTACCCCCTTAATCCCCCATGTTGCATCTCCTCTCCCTCATATCAGGGAGATCATATGATAGTTGTCTTTCTCCGATTGACTTTTAATACCTAATTCTATACTACACTAGTGACAGATACATGCCAAGTGGTTAATACAAGGTTACTTTAGTTTATTCATTATATGCTTTTCTCCCTTAATACAGAACTCAATATATTAAGGTATGAAATCTTTCCAATCATTTGAAAACATCAAAATGCATCTACTGATTGTTAATGAAATTCCAAAAATAAAATTTAAAAAATTTACATGTAATTTACACAAACACTGAATATATAAATTCAAGGTAGATATGTCATTTACAAAGGCTTTTTCTAAACATTTCTTCAGTTAACATAACAGAGAGAATGACAGATTGCCATGTTATCCAACTTATTTGGCAGGATGGGACCTGAAGCCATATGCTAAATGTTTATATACTATAGTATAGAGTATAAAATTTGTTGAGCTTTTAAGATAGGACATGTTACTACAAAGAAATTCCTACAGTGACCTGGTTTTGCTTAATATTAGATCATTCTTTTTTTTCCCTCCTCCTCACATTCTTTAATGTACTTAAGCAGTAAAGTTTGAGAAAAATTGCTATGCAGTTTTGATTCAGAATCATAGATTTGGCCTTTTGCTTAGAAATGTCCACGATTTACTTGTTCAACCATAACTTGACAACCTACTATGCATAGTGTTTTATGAAGCAAGTTTTCTCTTCTTTTCCCTACAGAAGTCCTATACTGTATACTATTCAACCTCTGTAATCCAAATTACCCCTTAAATACCTACAAATTTTTAAGCATGACTGCACTCACAGTCATCAACATGGAGGGGAGCAGTGACATTCTGGACTGACCTTCAGCTCAGAGGAGAGGCACAGTGAGTGCTGAAGGCTAGTTCCTCAGATAAAGAGCAAGCTTGCTCCCCATAATTAAGCATTTTTCCAGGTTTTGCTCAGGCAAACAAAGGAGATCTAATGTGGTGAGGGTGACAATGAGTTTAAAAGCCAACTGGGATTAGTCAATGTAGTCTTAGTTGCCCCCCCACCTCTTTTTAAGTCTGAAAGTTACATATTTTTCTGCCATTTCTGCATTCAGCTTTCTTGCTCAGCAGGTTTCCTAGAACCCAAGGGGTTTACATTATCCAGAAGAGTGTGGATGAAATCTAAGTCCCATCCACTATTGTGGGTGGGCTTGGGCAAGGGAATGAAAATGTTTGCTAAATTTAGATGGCTCATGTAATGCTCACTAACTACAACAATGTGTTTTCAGAACACTAAATTTGGAAAGACAAGCAGTTTCCCTCGTAACCAGCTTCATTCACCACTGAATTGAACAGAATTGAAAACACTTGAGAGCAGTGACTTATTTGAAGTCTTTTCAACTGCAAGATTTCCACTGGACTAAGATGAGCAAAAATCTGTGTGTGTGAACAGCTGTCAAGAGGAAGTCATTACCAAACTCTGTTTCAAAAATAGCTAACAAATTTGCATTACAACAAACAATAGATTTTTATTTGGCAAAATTTCCCCACAAATAAATGACATGCCCAGCGGTGTATGTTGCTATTTTATTTTGACAAAAATTGACTGATTTCAAGTGGAAGTGAGACTCCCATACTAATGATTTTGGTTTGAAGAAATGCTTAATTTAGGGAATCAATTATTTTCATTGGTATTATTGTTCCTTGCCTGGAGGAAGAATCAGCTGACTATAGCTTTCTGCCTAAGAATATATGCCTGAGGAGATCCATTTGGGGGCTTTTACCTGTAGACCTCCCTAAAGAATTAATTCCTTAACCTACTTTTTTAGTTAATTGTCATCAGGATTTTTAAAAAATTCTTTTCATTTTTTCAAATTGAGAGAAGAGAACTCACTAGTCCTCTCTCATCTTTTGTCTGATTTATGTTTTTCCTTTTGTTGACCCTACTGTTTTTTATCTCTGCTCTTTTATTGAGTAATTGTTTTGGTGACTGCTATCTCATTTATTTAATGTCCTTTTCTAAACTTTGTCTTTGCAATGAGAATTGTAAACTGCAGCACCAGTGAAATCTCTACAAGGCAACCTATGCTATATTTGGGGATTAAAGAGCTGAATGAATCCCGAGAGCTCTTCAAAACTTCACTTGGTCCTTCCTGAACTATGAGGGAAGCTCTTACTTGGCTTTGATGAAGATATCAATCCTCATCTTGGCTGGCTAAAAGAGACTAAAAACAACAACAACAACAACAAAACTCCCCCCACAAAAAACCAAGAAGATTCTGTTCCCTTGTAATTCATGAACTTTATAGGTTAAATCACTCTTACAGGAAGATACTTCCAGGATAGTGCAGAGAGGTTACTACTGTAACATCTTTTATCTTACTTTCAATATGATTCAAGGTCTCTATGGAAAAAAATTATAATTTTAAACTATGAAGTTAAGCTTTATCTTATTGTATAGGTTGATTCATTTGTTTTGCTATCAGTGAAATTGAAATAGATATGCTTAACTCTTACCTAAGGCAAGCATCCAATTTCTTTGCATGCAATCTTTTTTTTTTTTAATTTAAGTACGAATTTCAGGATTTTTTCCCATTTTTTAATTTTTAATTTTTTTTGTTATTTTTTTTCTTTTCAGTGTAACAGTATTGATTGTTTTTGCACCACACCCAGTGCTCCATGCAATCCGTGCCCTCTCTAGTACCCACCACCTGGTTCCCCCAACCTCCCACCCCCTGCCCCTTCAAAACCCTCAGATTGTTTTTCAGAGTCCATAGTCTCTCATGGTTCACCTCCCCTTCCAATTTCCCTCAACTCCCTTCTCCTCTCCATCTCCCCTTGTCCTCCATGCTATTTGTTATGCTCCACAAATAAGTGAAACCATATGATAATTGACTCTCTCTGCTTGACTTATTTCACTCAGCATAATCTCTTCCAATCCCGTCCATGTTGCTACAAAAGTTGGGTATTCATCCTTTCTGACGGAGGCATAATACTCCATAGTGTATATGGACCACATCTTCCTTATCCATTCATCCGTTGAAGGGCATCTTGTTTTTTTCCAGTTTGGCGACCGTGGCCATTGCTGCTATAAACATTGGGGTACAGATGGCCCTTCTTTTCACTACATCTGTATCTTTGGAGTAAATACCCAATAGTGCAATTGCAATCTTTCAAAGCCTATGCAAGCCTGCTTTGGTAGTTTCCAGAACTTCTATAAAATATGCAAGATTCCAGGTCAATAAAGTTGTGAACAGACTTGTTCTCTCTTGTCTGGTCCCTGTTTTAGGGAATATCACTATTATCTAATAGCTAACTAAGCCAGAATATGGAATAATAACATTCCTTCTGCCTTTTCCATTTCCCTCACTGCAGCAACAAGTCAATTCAATCCATGGATCCTCCCTCCCAAATATCTCTCCAATGCATTTCCTTCCCTCATGTCTAGATTGCTGAAGCAGCCTCCTAACTGATCTCCTTGGTTTTCTGTTACTCCTTTTATGCTCTGTAGCCAGGAAGATACTCATAAAATATAAATATTTTTATGCATCTCCTTCCCCCAATTTATAGTCCCCAGTGTTCCTGATTTCAGTACAAAGTCTAAATCCTTAAATGTCATTCAAGACCTTTCCAAATCTATATCTTAATTATTACTTCTCCATTGTCCTTTCTCACTACTACCCCCACCTTGAATCTGATGACTATTACTTGGAGCTCCCCAAATATGCCTCTTGCCTTTGGGCTTTTGCATCTACTGCTTCCTCTGTCTAAAACAGGCTTATTGCCTGGTTACTTCCCATTCATCATTCAAGTGTTCACTTAAATGTTACCTTTCCCAAGAAGCCCTAGATTGGGTTAAGAGTCCCATTTCTTTGCTTCTGGAACTTGGGTTCAGTCAATGGTACTTGTCACACTGTCTTTCCAAACTCTTCCCAACCTATCCTACCACTGATGAGATTGTATTCTATTCACCTCTCTATGTCCAACACCTGGAACAGGGCCTGACAGAGAGCAGGCTTGATGAACATTTGTTGAATAGATGAATGAGTGAATGAATGAATGAATGAGCATGAAGATGAACATTGACTCTTCATGTGCTTTGCTGCTTCTTTTGAGGCTACTTTAAGGCAGTGTAACTTTCAGATGTATACCATCTCTGTATCTGCTCAGGCTTTCTTGTGAGGCATATACTAAGTACTAGACAATTATCAGCTATCACACAATAATATTCAGAGGAGCATGGAGATATATGTATGATTTTAAATCTAGAATAGGGGTTAATAAATTGGGACCTCAAGCTCAAGAACATGCAGAAGAGAATACATGGCGTAACTAATCAGGATTATGTTAAAGATAACTAATTTATCCTACAGGCAGCCTTTCCAAGAAATCCTTTCCATAAAATTACAATCACTGTGTACTATTTCACAGATATTCTGATGACACTGGACCATGCTATAGAAAAAATTTTTTGAGGTCTCTAGGAGCATAGCTAATAAATGAGTAAATATTATCTCATATTGTGAATGATGACACTTCTATCTGGTTAATAGCAGTTTTTATAAGGTATCATTAAGATATTTTTCCTACAGGGTTTTTTTTGTTTGTTTGTTTGTTTTGTTTTGCTTTGTTTTCCATGCAGGGGTTGCGACCTTGGGAAGGTAAGAGGAAGAGAAAATGTCTCTTTAAAAAAAAAAAAAAAAGTGCTCGCTTCAGCAGCACATATACCAAAAAAAAAAAAAAAAAAAGTTTTTTTTTTTCTAAATAACTTTTTTTTTTTTCCTTTTTACCATCATGCTGATTTCTGTACCCTGAGGTTTCTACTCCCACTTATTCTGATGATGGGTGAATTACTATTGCAGTAACTTAGACCAGCATTTTGAACTCAAGCATTAATTTGTGCCTCATTTTATTCTTCAGGTACCTCTTCAAAAACCTTAAGAAATCTGTAAGCAGTAAGTTTTAACTTTTTTGAGGGATTGAAAATGCCATTTGAAAATCTATTCCATGGGGTGTGTCTCCAGAAAGATGAATGTTCTCACATAAAGAGAAAATGTTTATACATAATTTCATCAGGTTCAAAGGCTCCCTGAAGCTTAGTAGCCACAGGTTAAATATTTCTGTTGTGAGACAAACAAACCATAGGCCAACCTAGAACTATGGAGTTTATGCAGAAAATGTAGCTGAGCAAGGTCCCTGATCCCCGGGACACAAATATCTGTCTAGGTAAAAGGCAGGACAGAAATACATTTAACATTTAGTTATTGTTGGGAAGTTGAATAACTGTCTTCCTCTTATGTCTTTACAGTATAACATCATTATTAAAAATGCTGTGGATCTTAAATTGAGAAAAAGTTTACCATTAGAGCTTAAAATTTATAAGACCAATCACAGAGAAGCTGATTAGCTCTTCCTAAAGTCCATGAATAATACCAGGTGAGAATGATGAAAAGTTTGTGAACATCAGGATCCAATCATCTGTTGAATCAACAATTTATTGTATAGCTCTGCCCTGCCATGCAAATTTCGTGGAGCCTGAGTTAATTTTCTAAGGTCACAAGTTAGCTGATGGCACAACCTACCACTCTGTTTTAACTCGTAGGTTGGGACATTGTCACTATATGTTATAGCCTCCAGAAAAACATGTCATGGTGAGAAAAATTCACAGTCCACTTTTGTGTAGAGCTAAGTACTAACAAAACAAGAACACAGCTCATGTGGCATTTTGTTTTTCATGAGGCATTTTTAAAGAGATAAGGAATTTAAATGGAAAGCAAGATTTCAAAACATTCAGTGTATGCCATAAAACAATTTAACTTAATCTGACGTAATCTGATGTGGTTTTTCCAGGGGCCTTGACTATAATTTACTTTTCCTCAATTTTGTTCAAGTACTTTTGCTCAATCTGGTGTTCCACAGAACACTTCTCTCTCGCGATACTTAGTGCACAAAAGATTCTGTGGCTAAATAAATTTGGGAAATGTTTCATATTATAGTTTGTTTGGTGTTTTAAAAAGCATACAAGAACATTAAAGGTTCTGGGAAGTCCTGCAGTAAAACATAATAGCAAAAATCTTATTTGTCTTTAAATCTGTATTTCTCAAAGTCATTACACCTCAGAACACTTCCCTAATGTAACACTTATGAAAATCCCACACAACCTATATTCTGCAGCACATATGACAAGAAATTCTGCTGTAACTTTACAAGTCTTCAGTCTCAGATCCCGTTTTCCAATGATTGTTTGAAACACAGAGCAACTATTTTATGAAAGCCTGTTGCTTTGGCATGCCCTCCTTTTCGATTCAGTTATGAAAACAATGCTAGCTAAAACCACTCTCCATTTCTGTTTTTCAAGGTTTTCTCTCTATATTACACTGGCTTGATGTACTGCTATTTTTATTTCCATTCTTCCCACCATTTCCATTTCAGAAATTTATTAAAAGGAAATAATTATATATGGGAACAATTATTTAATGTATTTGATAATAAAATGTCAAAAACAATGTAATTTCTAGTAATAGGGTGATGGATAAGTAAATTGTCCATATAATAAAATGTTATTTAAAAAATCACATTTGTCAAAGACTATTTAATGATGTGGAAAGGCCGTGATATGTTTTTAGTGATATACATAAGGTACATCACGTCAAGGGCATCATTCCAGTTTTGTAATATATTATATATAGGTACACATATTTTCACACACACACATAAAAAACTTAAAGGGCATACCTTAATATGTTCAGTTATTTATCTCTGAGAAGACTAAATTTTTTATGTTTTTAAGTGTTTAAAAGAAATTTTACAACAAATATGGTTTTCATTTAAAACAAAAGAAAACAAAAATACTATTGAATATGTGGGTTTTACATCTTCAGCTCAAACTGGAAAAACACACCTGTTCAAATATGGGCTGATATAGTCCTTATACATATTTCATCCAAACAGAGATTACCAAATAGTTTTGATTCTTTAACCCCCAAATTATTGTTCTTACTTTTTCTAGGCTCCATGAAGGTAATAATACTCTTTCCCTAGAATTATGGTTCTTTTTCTCAATTAAGATGTTTTTAAAACCAGTATGTTTTTTAAAACTGATTTTAGAAAGACTATTTACACTTCAAAAAGATTTGTGTTACTTTCTTATAGGAGATAATTTTTATAGGTAATACGAAATAATATATATGCAAAGTTGTATGGTGGGTTCTCCACATAGACGTACCCTTGAAATAAAAGGATGAAATGGATCTCAAATTCTATGACTTTTGAATTGCTGATCATTTGTAAAGACTCTTTTCTCTTGGCGATAGATGTGATAGTTTTTATGGTACAGGAAGGTGGTCAGATGTATTTGAAGGAAAATGAGACTTTCATGAGACTTTTAAAAGAAAGAGGAATTTTAATGCCTGCCAGAACAAAACTTTTAATAGCTTTTAAAGGAAGATGAAATAATCACATTCATTGTAATGTGATTTAACTTAAATGTATATGTGTATATATACATATACATGCATATGTGTCAGGTAATCTTTTTTTTTTAAGATTTTATTTATTTATTTGACAGAGATCACAAGTAGGCAGAGAGGCAGGCAGAGAGAGAGAGGAGGAAGCAGGCTCCCTGCTGAGCAGAGAGCCCAATGCAGGGCTTGATTCCAGGACCCTGGGATCATGACCTGAGCTGAAGGCAGAGGCTTTAACCCACTGAGCCACCCAGGCACCCCTGTGTCATGTAATCTTAAATGTCTGGCATAACATTTTAAAAAATACTGGATATATAAAGTAATAGATAAATGTGATCAATAATTATGAAATAAAGCAGCCAAAAGAAACAAATCCCAGATGACTTAGATGTTAGAATTAGCAGCACTAATTTTAAATTAGCTATTATAAATATATTTAAGAATTTAAAAGGAAAGATGTATATAGGAAATGTACAATGGGAAATCTCAGAAAAATGGAAACTATAAAAAAGAACCAAATGGAATTCTAGAACTAACAAATGCACTGTCTAAAATTTAAAAATTGATTTAAAAATTAAAAAATTGATTGCATTGTATTAACACCAACCTGGAAATTGGAAAAAAAAAAAAAAAAGAAAGTCTAGTGAACTTGAAGATAGGAAAATAGAAATTATCTATTCTGAAGAATGGAGAGAAAAAATATTTTAAAGAAAAGAAAGAATATATTGTTAGTGACCCATGAGACCATATAAACTGGTCTAAAGAAACTGTAATTGGAGCCACAGTAGTAGAGAGATTGAATAGGACAGAAAAATATACCTGAAGAATTAATGACCTAAAATCCCCCAAATTTGGAACACCAACAACAGTCCATAAACACATTATGGTCATTTGCTGGAAATTAAAAATAAAAAGAAAATAAGAGCTATTCACTAATTTCAGTTTTCCAAACTTAAATATCTCTATTCTCAATACATTTTTCTATTTTTACTATTACTTCAGGGAGCTTATATGAGTGATCTTTCATAAGCATGATAATTTAAATAATAAAGAAAATAAAGAATTGGAACTCAAATAAAAACTTGTAGAACTTCAAATCCAGCACACTTTTACAACTGTATTTTAGAAAGTAAGACAACAATCTCCGCTTTCCTTTTAACTTAGAGGAAAAAAAAAATCTAAGTGTGGATTGGCTGTCTATCCTATGACAGTTTTCACCCTGTTGTTTGCTATTGGTCTAAATAGCCACTTCCACCCACTCCAGACCATAAGCTCCACACAGGTAAGGGATTATTTTTTTGCTCTTTATTCAGGGATTGTAGGATGTAGATGAGTGACTGACACATCACAGGTACTCATTGAGTAAATGAAAGAATGAGATCAAAATGAAGGCAAAAGTTTTTGTGATTTTGGTTTATTTCATATTTGGCATTTGTTTTGTTAACAAGCCAGATGTAATGTTTTCAGATATTTCCTTGAGATGTTCTAGTGAACATCTTAATGCAGACTATACTAAATAATAGACCTACTGGCACAAAGTTAGAATTGTAAATAGGTCAGTGATTACTGTTGCTTTCACTGCTCACCTACACATTATTTTACCTGGAGAGAAAAAATAAAGAAAAAGGCCAATCAAGTCCCCAGAATTTACTGATGCCTCTAGGGGCAGTTTTCCCACAATTTATGCTTCATTTCATGTAGTGTCCTGAAAAATCTATAAGGTGACTTATTATATCCCAGTTCCTTAACATTCCTATTGGTGCACCAATAGTCATGTGCATTGTTTCAAAAGTCAGTGCATATATTATCAATCAGAGTGTAAACAAGAAAGCAGAAACCACCTTAAAGACTTTTCAACAGAGTTAATTTAATTCAGGGAATTTATCAAATAGGTGATGGAATTTCTGAGAGCTGAAGTAACAGAGTTAAACAGAGTTAAGCAGCATGAAACCACTACCATCTATAGGCTAGAAAGATGAAACATGTAGCAGTACTCCTGCCCAGGGGGTTATTAAATGGAAGCTAAGACAAATTTGCCAAACAATGAAACCAAGGAGCTGGAGCCATAGAGGAGAAGCAATTGCTGAGAAGCTGCCTTCTCAGGTAGGTAGAGAGGAGAAGTGCCTTGTCTGCTCTCTCCCACCACATTCAATCTCTGGTCTGTGTCTTTCTTGTCAAAACTCAGGCAGAAGACAGCTGATCTGGGATACTGGGAAACACAGACTGTAGGGTTTAGTCTCTCCCTCTATCAGAGAGCTGAGCCCAAAAAAAGACAAGGAATGGGGCCAACATGCCCAGGCTCCCTGCCACAGCACCTACAGGTGTATTAATTGTTTCTAAAATATAAAGCATTTTCCCCCAAAGTTTCTATGTACTTTTAACTGTTTGATGCGATGTTGCAATGGTTCTGCAATTCTAATTGATAGTTACTTTGGGGGGGGGGGGCGTTTACAGGACCATCTGGTAGAGACCATTGGAAACTAGAAAAATCTTTAAAAAATAGAAGTTGCCTAATGCAGTCCTTGCTCATCTCATCATGGATTTTTAGGCATTTGATTGAAATATGCCAATAAAATGACTTTTGAAATGTTCCCTTTTCCAAGTTTCTGAGCCAGAAACAGAAGGCTTATCTTCCTGTTAGCATAGGCTACTGCTGTAGTAGGTTCTTAATCTGAAAAGCATAATGAAAAGAAAATACATCATGTTATGAAAGCTATTTGAAACTTACATTGCTATAGGACTAACTCTGAAAAATTCCTTAATATTCAAAAAATCAAGAAACCCAAGAGGAAGTTAAGTGCTTGAATCCTTATCTCTGCTATTGCAGATCATGTCATTGGATACTCCAGAAAATGAATACGTCTTGAAGTGCATGGAGTGTGTGATTAAGTCCCTGAGTAGGGTGAGTATGACATAATAATGCTTGACAAACGCTTGAAGAGCTTAAATAGCAAGTAAGGAAGAAAATGGTTTCCTGTAGCATAAGGAGTTAGAACTTGAAGTACCAAAGTGGAATTGACAAATGGAAACATTTGAATGACTTTCTAGAAATATTTCCTAATGGAGCCAGAAGTTAAGACAGTGGAATTGGTTTTCCAGAGGGAAGTGATTGGAGCAGATGTTTCTGAAGTAAGCAAAAGAAAAAGCATCGGAGAATATACCACAAGGAATATACCTAAGGTGTCAGCTATTATTAACTCTTTTCTTTAGGTTCAGCATTAGAAATGGCAATGTTAGATCTGCATCCAATGAAGTATATGTACACGTATACACATATAAACCTCCCAGGGTTTAGGGAGGTTAAAAATGGCTTGTTCAAGGTGCACACTGGGTTAGTGCTGGAGCTGGGTCTCCAATCTAAACTCTCATTCAACATCAATACTCTTGCTGCTACAGTATAGAGCCTTGGGATCAGGAAGAATCACTCACAACAAATCCAAGCTATGGTTGATACTGGAAGAGTTCCATATTTTTGGAGCTGATGTGTATTTGTCTCCAACAAAAGGAAAATACCACCCCTTTCCAAACATCTAGGGAATTGTAACAACTGATTTCTTGGTTTTAGAGAACAAAATTTACTCTGGGTAGTTTAGGCAGAAGGTTTATTACAGAGCATAAGATAGTTTGCAGAATGTGTCAGAGGCTAGAGAACCGAGTAGTCATGCTACTAAAATTTGTGGGATCTGGGGCAAAAGTACAAATTGATACCCACATAACATGTCTAAGTACTTAAAAGTTAAACATCAGCTTCAGTTTATTAAATAAAATGTATGCTATGTTCCCACTTTGAGAAAGTTACCTCCTAAATTACCTGGGAGGTCAAGATAGAACTTAAAATTTTGACTCTTTTGGGTTCCTCACCAAAGCATAATGGTATGGGAAAAGCATGACCAAGTCCCCAACCCAGATTTCCCACCCTTCTGTTTTTCAGTCTCTGGCTTCATTCTGTGCTGCAAGGGACTCTTATCAGCATATGTGTGGACACTGCACCCAACATATACAAGCTCTGTCTATACCCTTGGAAGCCAGCTGCCCTGTGGCCACCCTCAGACCTAAAGGTGCCTACAGTGGTGGTTTGGTTCACTTTCAGGAGAATGAGCTCCAGGAAAGAGACCCACACAGACTCTGGAAGCAAGTTCAGGGCCATTTAGGTAAGGAATCTGGGTCCATGATTTCCAGGGCACAGTCTGGGGCTAAAGCTCCAGTTAAGTATGTATCACTGGCTCCACATACTCCTCACTCAGTGTTTAGGAGATGGCCAGAGGAGGGCCAGAGCAAGAGCCTGTGAAGTGTTGGGCCAAGATTAAGAGATTCTTTCACCTAGACTAAAGATGGAAACAAGCATAGGTCCTGCTTGTTCAGAAAGAATGCAGCCTGATGAGCTGCCAAACCACACCAAGGGACTTGTTTCAAGAAACCTGACTGCCACAGACACCTGCTGTTCAGTAGTTTTGATGCTAGGTACTAACCTATAGAACCTTCCTCACAGCTGCCTCAAGAGAATCAAACATTTCTGTAGTGATACTGGCTGGGCAGTCCAGTCTCTTCATGTAAGGCTATAATCCCACAGTGTTGATTTCTGCATTTCAGGTTTTGTGCAGGTGTATCTGCTTAGTGGAACCTAAATCAATGTGGAAACTTAGTGGCAAATGGAGCTTGGTCTTTATAGTTTCTATTACTCGGGAAAATATATTAGAAGTAGATTGAAATCAGTGACCACATGAAACCAAACCTCTTTGAAAAACCCATTTATTGAGAAACAAATTGAAACAACGTAGATATATATTGATTTTTTTAGATGATAAAACCACCATTATGGATTTATTTGTAATGGCTTTTGGAGCATTCTGCTGTAAAGGATTCTGAGGCTTTCCCTGAACCCAGAGAGAAAAAGCACTTTTTTTGATTTTTGATATCTACCATGATCGTGGGAGGGGCTGAGGTAATGCCTATGCCATTTTCGGAGGCAGGACTATCTCTTAGACATACGTATATAGGCCCTGAGTAAGGTTTTGTTAAATGAATGACTAAACTGTAAATAAGTGAATTATAGCTAGGACCTTAGGCAGGAATTAAAATGATTCTGAGTTCTTCTACTTTCTAATCCTAATCTTTTTAATTTTATGATACCACAGGGACCTAGAGAAGAAAAGAGATATAATTATGGGGGGATCAAAGAAAGTGACATTTGTAGAAGTTAAGGAGGCAGGAGAGGTTTCCCTCATTTAGGTGAAGGAGAGGCAGTGTTGAATGGTGTGGTCAAGATTCTCTTAACCTTCTTCCCATCCTCTCCAATGTTAGCTAAGGTAATACTACCTGTTTTAACAAACAAACCCCCAAATTTCAGTGGCTTACCATGATAAAAATGTGTTCTCTTTCCCGTAGTAATCTGATGCAGGTGCTTCTTGTCAGAGGGGGAACATGTTTCAGACTGAAGAAGCTGCCATGTTGCTCTGGTCATTGACATGTAAAAAGCATAAGGGAAAAGGGAGTAGGAGAAAGGGATCTTTGTTTTTTAACCACTTTACTTCAAGAAGTGACCGACATCACTTATCATATTTCCTTGGTGAGCACTAGTCCTTCGGCCCCATGGGGATGCAAGGGTGGGCTGGGATATACAGTGTCTGTCTGGGCAGCTGCTTCCCAGCAACAGCTGTGTGTCTGTTCTCCTGCAAGTATGCTCCATGGACTGGCAACATCAGATTCACCGGGGAATCTGTTAGAAATGCACATTCTTGGGGCTTATCCAGGATTACTAAATTAGGAAGAATGGAGGTGGGGCCAGGGCATTTTAATAAGCCTTTCACAGGATTTTTATGGATGCTCATGTGAAAAGCCCTGACCTCTGGTGGACAGCTTGTCATTTCTGCCCTACTGCCTGTAGTGACTGCATTCCCGCACATCAATATTTGAAGCCCCTCCCTGAAGGAGGAGGACTTCCTACTCCTTGAGAAGTCGGGCTTCATTTTGTGACTTATTTGAACCAATAAAATGTGAGAGAAATGAGCATGGTCACTTCCATGTTGAGGTTTGAAGAGCCAGCATGTGCTTTGCTACTCCCTCTTTCTGTCACTGAACCACAAGGAGCAGATAATAGCTCCTCTGTTACCCTAGATCCCGGAGTGAGGAGAGCAGACGGCATAGAGCGGAGTCCCAGCTGACTGGCAGTGAAAATGTAGCACGAGAAAGAAAGAGACCTTTGGTGTTTTAAGCTTTGAAATTTTGGGGTTGTTCATCCCTGCAGCATTCTTCAGACTGCTTTGCCTCCTTTCCTCCAACGTACAACACTGACTGGCACTTTTTATGAATGGCTTTGCAAAGCTTACCTCCAAAGGGTTATATCCCCCTTGACACTACATTCAAAATTTTGGCATGCTATCCTTAAGGGAATGGTGTTTCTGGGTTTTGTACACCTACCCTCTGCCTTATTTTATTCCTTTTCATTCTTACTTCAAGTATTGATAATATCTAGAAACCTTAACCATCTGCACAGTAGAATAACCTCAAGTTTGCTCTGGTTTTGACCTGATTTTTCCTTTGTTAACATTTGTGAAAAGAATCATTCAGAATATCACTTATGTAGATTACTTGCTCCATCTTCTAGGCCCCAGTCTATTGTCTTTCTTTTCTAGGTTCAAGAGTTCAGTTCTATTGGGTGATAATAATTTGATTTCTTGAGAATACAGTACAAGGGACTCAAAGACAAATCAAATCACAAAAAGCTTGGATTGTTAGATTAGAAGCATATCTTCTTAAATGGCTAGCTAAAATTGGATTTAAACTTGATCAGCACATATAGTAACATGTATTACATATGATTGGCAGCAGGCAGCGGCACAGATAAGTCTGGAATCATGGATGTAGCGCTGGGGTAGCAATATGTGATTTTATTTTGGGGGCGGGTAGTAGTAAATTTATAAACCTCCTTTTGCTAAGCTTGGGGTAGTACTAGTATAAACACACTGTGTTTCCTAATCATGGCTTCCTGGCCAGTAGGATCAAGAAGGGCAGGTGGCTTGGGATTAAAACTAAGAAGTAACCAATATGCAGTAAAATGTCAGCTACCTATCTAGAACATTACGGAAATGAGTTGTTCTGGTTACAAAGTTCATATGTATAAAAATAGGTTCATTTAAACTATTTCTGGTGAACATCTTTGGAAATACAGGTATACTTCTCTGCTTTATTAAATATAACATTCTAATTTGATCTCGCTCTGATGACTCAATCATAAATTATTCTAAAGTGCTGTAAGAGAGCCTGTTGAGTTCAGGGCTCTGTGTTTGAACCTGTAGGGGTTCCGGTTTGGAGTTCTGGTATCATCTTTTCAGAGTTTTCCTGTCATCAAGTCTCAGGCTGCCAGCTGTCACTTTCTGATGCTGCCAGTGTGTGTCTCCCTGGTGACCTGCTGCCTCCAGGATACCTTGAACTGGGGAACTAAACAATCATGCTCATTAAAGTTGTGCCTAAAATATAAGCAAATGGACTCTAAGTGTGAGCCCCAGGAGCATTTCCATGTGCATAAAGTTCATAAGCTTTATTATATCATCTTTGCTTTATCAGTGGCCCCATTTCTTTCTTTTTTTTTTCTTTTCTCTTTATTGTTTGCTTGCTTGCTTTCTGTCTTTCTCTCTCTTTCCTTCCTTCTTCCCTCCCTCCCTCTCTTCCTTCGTTCTCACCTTCTTTGCTTTCTTTCACTCTCCCTTCCTTCCTTTCTTCCTTTTTCTATCTCTCTCTCTCTCTCAGGAAAGTAAGATTGCTTCATTACTGAGTTTCATGCAAGTTAGATGTTTCTTTTCATCAGGTCTACTCTGATCATGGATGATAGAATATTGACTAGAGGTGGGATGTCATAGCCCTATAGAGCTAATGAAAAACCTAGCCATTATACTTTGCATTTTT